TTATAAATTATCGGGGGTTCGGGGGTAGGGGGAGCGGGGAGGGAGGGGGAAAAATGAGCTGACACCAGGGGCTCAAGTGGAAAGCGGGTGTCGTAAGAATGATGAAGTCAACATATGTACTAAAGTGCTGGACACAGAAGATATATGTACAGATTGTAATGAGTTGTATGAGCCCCTAATAAAATGATTATTATTTTTTTTAAAGTTAGTTTTACCTAATCAAAGGCACCTCTGGTCACCTCATCCACATGATCACAGAAGCCCAGCAACGGTCTAAGAAGTCAGTGATAAAGATCTAATAGGGGTAGGGGTGGGGGAGGCACTGGGAACTATGAAATTGTATTTGACTCCAGGACTAAGATTAGATTTTGAAGCAGCCTTGAGATAGTTAGTTTATTGTGCCAGCCTGGCCGATAAACAATAAACACAAGTGGGATTAATTGAAGGGCAGAGGGATAAATGGCTCGGTGAGCCTCGCCTTTTCTTGTCTCTCGCTCTGTGATCATCGGACCAGTGTGTGGCTGCCTTGCGTGTCCTGTGCCTCAATTTAAAGGCTACACTGCCTGTGGGATGCCTAGCCTGGGGACTGTGTCGCTGTAAGTTAAGGTCCATTTAAGACCACATGGTTGAAATTTACATCTCTGGAGCTGGGGAATAACAGTTGGTGACCTGGCTGACAATTGGTGAGACCTGCCTTGCTATTTGCTGCTGTGCTTATATAGCCTAGCTTTCTCTATAGAAGATCTGGCAGCCCTCAAGACTTGAAGGACTGCTAGTGTCTCACAATTCTCTCACGAGAGTGAGTTGCACTGAGCCATTTGTACTGCTTTATAATTTAACTGTTCATTTCTTCTATTATATATCTATCTGTATATAATTTAACAGTTCATTTTTTGTGTTATATATCTATCTTTATAAATAAATATATAAAATTATCAGCAATCTGGTTTTATCTCTCTAGAGAACCCTATCTAACACAAGCCTCTAGTTAGATTCCAAACCAAACCCACTGCCCTCTAGTCAATCTCAACGTATGACCCTACAGAGGGTTTCTAGGACTATACATCTTTGTGGGAGGTCATAGTCTCATCGTTCACCCAAGGAGCAACTGGTGAGTTTGAACCACCAACCTTGTCATTAGCAGCCCAACACCTAACCCACAGCCACACCTGTGCTCCTTCTAGTTCGTTAGATCAGATCATTTCACAGGTTCCCAGACCTATTTGGCCTAATGCCCTCTTGAGAAAAAGTTACTCAACGTGCCCCCTGGCCATTAAAAATGTTTGTCTCACAGTCCATAATGCAGGATAAAGTGTAGGTATCTGTTTCTGCAGCTCCCCTGGATCATCTCAGCAGCCCACAGGAGGGTGGTGTAGCTCACTTTGGGAAATACCAGATTAGATAATCTCATATTTTAAGGACTTTTCTAGGCTTAAAATTCTGATTTTTCTATAAAATTTTGTCTGCAGTTTGCATGGATCACTGGAAATGACACATTTGACAACTTCTATTGCAGCTGGTGAGTTTGGGGCAAAGATGAAACTGCCTGCTTCTATAAAACGTACAGCTTAGGAAACCCTCCAGGGCAGTCTGCTCTGTCCTATCGGGCTCCTATGTCAGAATCAACGTCGTGGCAGAGTGCTTGGGTTTGGGGTTTTAGCAGCTCAAGCACGGTTCAGGTCCCAACATACATCACTGGGCACACCTGAGCTTTTCATCCATCAACCGTAAAAACGAGGACGCTACCTTCTACTGTTCCAACTTTGTGAAGCAACTGTACTAACTAGGTAATACAAGTGGAAAATTGATCAGTTTTCTTTCCCTTTTCTATAGTCTGCAGCTACTACATTTCCTCCACTAGATGGCAATGCTGCATCAATAAAGTAAAAAACTGACCAAGTCCTACCAGTGGAAGGCTGGATTTATTTAGTACTGCTGAAAATGAAATATGTAAAAAAAATACCCAAGGCACATTCTGTAAAAAAAGATAAAAGTGATGGGCGAGGCAA